CATGACACTCAGTGAGCACACTCAATATGGGCGAAGGACATGGACTCTGAGGTCTACGTGTCAATTAGGAAAATCAGATCCATCATTGCAGTCAACTATTTTTCACTCCTCTGTTTTCCTCCTTTTGCATCTATAGCACATTATCTCCTAGTCACCACCGCTCTCGTCTCGTTTGAAAAGACTTCCCAGCTTTACGCACCAGTTGTTGCACCGCTCTACTACCAAATAAAATGGGAATAGACATCAAAGTTTCTACATCTGTGTGCTGATGTAGAAACGGCATGGTCTTATTTTTATCTTGGTTTTATGGAGATCATTGATAGACATGCACCCCTGCGTAAATTTAGAGTAAAGGGATGAGACAATCCTTGGTTTTCTGCTGAACTGTCTAGTCTCCTTCATGAGAGAAACAAGGCCTGGGCAAAGGCTAGGAAATCAGGCTCAGAGGTAGAATGGCTGCGTTTTAGGCAGCTAAGGAATAGCTTCACTTCACATGTCAAAGGTGCTAAGTCGAAGTACTATTTGTCAGTTACCACAAAGAACCTGAATAATCCTAGGAAATTTTGGAAAGCCATAAAATCGATATCCACAGGTGATATCCGTAATGAGCTACCTCTGTGCCTTACCACAGCATCTGGCACTATATCGGACAGGGCCACCATGTTAAATTGCTTTAATAAGCATTTTGTGTCCTGTGGCTCTCTGTTTGATTCTGTCACTAACTCTGCTTCTGTGAACACCACAGTCTGTGACTCTGAACAATGTGGTCTGGAAAACCCTTTCAGTTTTACTCCTTTTACTGTTAATGTTGTTCATGAAGCATTAACCAAGTTAGATCCTAAGAAACCGGCTGGCCCGGACAACGTAGAACCTTTCTTTTTAAAGATAGCTGCAGATTTTATTGCTCCACCTCTCACTACTCTTTTTAACCTCTCCCTCAGCACAAATACAATTCCAAAAGTATGGAAGTCAGCTTATGTCCTGCCTTTGCTAAAAGGAGGGGAAGCAACTATTTTAAATAATTATAGGCCCATCTCTAAATTATCAGTTCTGGCTAAGGTTCTTGAACGCCTAGTGAGTGAACAAGTAAAGGAGTTTTTATGTACAAATGACATCCTTTCTAAACATCAGTCAGGCTTCAGAAAGCAACATAGCACCATCACTGCCACAATGAAAGTGGTGAATGATATTACGAGTATTTTAGATAATAAGCAGAGTTGTGCAGCTCTATTTATTGATCTTTCTAAAGCGTTTGATACCGTCGATCATCACATCTTAAAGCAGTGGCTGGCCAGTATTGGCTTATCCAGCCATGCAGTGGGGTGGTTTGGGAACTACCTCTCTGAAAGGTCCCAATGTGTTCACTTTGATGGGCTGTCTTCTGAGTGGTTAAACATTACTAATGGTGTTCCTCAAGGTTCTGTTTTAGGTCCACTTTTATTCTCCATATATATCAACAGTTTAGGTGAAAATGTGGATGAAGCAACTTTAAATTTTTATGCGGATGATACCGTGATGTACTGTGCAGGTCCCTCCATTAAGGAGGCTGTTGTTGAATTACAGGCTGTTTTTAACATTATTCAGACTCAGCTCTCTGAACTTAAGCTTCTTTTAAATGTTGATAAAACCAAGGTAATACTTTTTTCAAAAGCTAAAAAGACACCAGAGCCTGTTTTAGATATTGTTACTATGCAAGGACAAGTACTAGAAGTGGTTACCTGTTACAAATACCTTGGTATCTGGCTTGATGATTGCCTCACTTTTAAACTTCATGTCAATAACCTGCTTAAAAAGCTGAGGGTTAGACTAGGTTTCTTTTACAGAAACAAGTCCTGTTTCTCGCTCGAGGCCAGGAAAAGGCTAGTCACTGTGACCTTTTTACCTGTGCTGGACTATGGTGATCTGGTCTATATGAATGCACCTGCCCATTACCTGAACAAGTTAGATGCCGCCTATCACAGCGCACTGAGATTTGTCACAAATTGTAAAGCACTTACACATCACTGTACCCTGTATGCCAAGGCAGGTTTGCCATCACTTACTGTACGGAGGCTCAGTCATTGGTACACGTTTATTTATAAAGCTTTGTTGGGTAAACTCCCATATTATATCTGCTCTCTGATAACACAGAGAGTTGCAAGCAGCTATTGTCTGAGATCGCATGATGTAGTGTTGTTAGATGTGCCAAGAGCAAGGACTGCCTTAGGTAAGACAGCTTTTATGTGCGCAGCTCCACTTGCTTGGAACAATCTTCAGCAAGAATTGAAACTGAGCAATCTCATTCCTCTGCATGTTTTTAAAGCTAGGCTAAATGAAATGCTCGTTGATACTATGGGTACTTGTAAATGTCTATAACTATGTAAATGTATCCTGTATCCTGTATGATGTCCTTTGTTGTTTTATGTTTCATGTGGAACATATATGCTGCAGGTCTCCCTTGAAAAAGAGATCTATGATCTCAATGGGACCAATCTGGTTAAATAAAGGTTTGAAATGAAATGAAATGAAATGAAACACACACGACACACACCAGCAAGCTATTCATCACAATTTAGCAACAGAATCAGACACTGAGGGACGCCCCCTCTAGAATACAATCCCAAACACAAACGGCTACACACTTCTCCCACGACACTCATTTCTCCCTCCATTTGTCAACATGGTTTCCTGCTCTTTTAATTTCCGCTAAGTCATCGCTTTTGTCTGTCTCCTTACAAACTAGGCTTTGCCATTCAGTTGAATTTAAAGAGAAAGTCGATGAAACTGAAAAATGCCTGAGAATGTTTTGTAGCTAACTATAACCCCAGTATTATATGACTAAATTACAAAAAATTAAGCTATTATAATTTGAGTATTTTAACTATTTATATGGATTTAGTGCCTTTTTGTTATTTTATTCTAGAATTACACATTTCTTAAAAGCTCTTGTTAGTGTTTTTTTTTTTTAAATGTATGTTTATTCTTATGACTTAGCTTAGCCTATTCATGCGCTTTTTGTCAGGTTTCCCAACCTCATATAGGTGAGGATTAGTTTTTCTATATGCAGGGATGCCAAAAAAGGAAATAAGATATGCAAATGAGTGTGTGTGCAATCATAAACTAATCTGCTAATGGGATTTTGTTAATGTCTTCCCATTAAATTAATAAAATATGACCCAAAAGTGACTTGAAATTACATTTCAGTTCAATGCACAAGCAATTAAAGGCTACCATTAAAAGTTACCATAATGTTTTTTCCCCGTTAATGTTACCACTCCATCATATAAAGTACTGGATCAACTCTTCAAGATGTTGTGTAGTGTTTGAGACAGCTCCACCAGCATATGTAATGCTCACTGTGCAAATTCTGTATTCCTTGGGTGAGATGATTTCTATTTCTCTGTCAACTTCACATGGTCCCTCTCCACCTGCTTTCTCATCACGCCACTGATGGAGTGCTACATGAAAAGGGACTTCTTAAGGTCTCGTCTAAAGCTTGTTGAGCGGCGGTAATAGGCCTGTTGGAGTGGTGATGATGAGAAAGAGAGATTTGCTCACAAGATCTAATTGCACTGCCAGTGACCGGAGTGCTGTTGGCAAACACTTGTTTGTGTGCATACAGGATGACAGTGCTCTAGCACCACCCAAAGACAAGCTGCGTACATGAAGAGCTGCAGCCATTAACTTAAGGTAAATAAACATCTAAAGTATAAATACTGTATGCACAACCTTATACGACTAAACCGTATTGGGTTAAAATAACAAGTCTATTATTGAGCATGAATACTGTATAAAATAATTAAGCAACATAAGCAGATGAAGTTGGATAGGGTTGAAAGCTAAAAAAACAACTTATATAGCAAATATAGGCTAGAAAATGAATAGCCTATATTCAGTTAAGATTGTTTATGTTAAAAAATGTACATTTAATTATGATGAATGTTTCATTTTAAACATATACTCTAGCCTGGCTCTTTAAAAAAAAATCTCACTTTACATGTATAATGTAAACGTGTGATTTAAGATTATTTCATCACATAAATAATGCAAATCCCTGTCTGTAATCTTCATTGAAGTACAAACAGCTCATGACTAAATTGTGTTTCTCACTTTAATCCAGAAGATGGCGCCACAACTCAGAGCAAAACTTAAGCCTGGCATTATAAAAATTGCGCTTTTAATATTAATAACCAGATGAAATTGCATCGCACACATTGTGTGTGCCTCAAGTTTTACACAAGCACAGATTCATACATGAATGGTAGGGGAGCAGCAATGCAATACTCTGACCAGTTTAAGGATATTTGTCAACACATTTGCCACTAATTGAACTACCAACACTCATTAGGATTAACCATGATTATTTTATTACTTTATTTCATACATTATGAAATATTTTAAGCATGTCACTTTGATTGTCATCAAATGTGTGTCAATGCAACAGCTAGGAAATAAGAAAGGATAACCCTGAAAGGTCAGTGTATAGTGGCTTTCCCAATGATATGGTTATAACCTGACAATAAAGATTATGGACAAAAAACAACGAGGTGGCACCATTGTCACGTCTCATAATAAACAAATGATGTTATCCTAAAAGCTATTCCAACTTGAAGCTTATTTTCAAATGCATGGTCATGCTTCTTCTCTGCTTAATTAAATTGTTACAAGACGCAAGCACCAGTAGAGTCAGGGCTTGAAAGAGGTTAACTCTTGCGCTGCATAAAAAAAAATACATTTGCATAATTGGTCTGTTAAGGTTAAAAGAGAAACAAATATTTTTAGCACCGGAATTGAAATTGCAACACAATCAGTGTTTTATTGGGAGGCATTAAATCACAGCTAATAGAGAACATTGTTCTCACACTTAATACCTCTGTAGACACTTTAGTTGGTGTATTTGGGAACCTATTTGTGTATATATTTGACACTTTATACAGTGTATCCTTGTGGAAAAATGTATGTAACAATTCTTATGCAACTTTGGTGTACATATAAACTGAACAGAAACAGCAAAGATTGAGAAACGTGAAAAATACAATAATTTATTTAACCAGATATGAAACAGACAGAAACTGAGACATGCTGGAAGAGAAAACCTCCAAAGCCTGATGCCAAACTGCTTCCATGTTAGTGTCTGAGGGCAGAATATGAGCTACTGTTTGTAGGTAATGATTGTATTGCCATATACTTTAGTAAACATCAAGTCCTGTCTGGATTAACAGGTGTGGCAGGAAAATATGGGTGGTGCAGAACACAGGAAGTCATCTTGAGGTTCAGACAGACATGTAGCACATCCAGGATCCACAGATTTACAAAGAGAAGACCAGTGATTATGTAGGACAGCCCACACCTTGAAAATAGAGAAGAATCAAATGATTAAACATTGTTAACAATGGAAATGATGACATGTATTGAGAGATTAGCAGTGGGGAAGGAATACTCAGATCTTTACTTAAGTACAAGTAGCATTACTACATTTTAAAGTCACCATTACAAGTAAAAGTCCTGCAAGTATTAGTATCAACATATACTCAATATATACATTATTTCTTAATGGTAAAGAGTAATTGTTACCATTGATGCATTTAAGTGCAACACAGCTGGAAAAGGTGAAGCTCATTTGAATGTCTTTCTATACTGCTGAATGATATTTTAACCTATCATTATATTTCAATATGATTATCAGTTGATTTATATTGTTATTATGCCATAATCTCAATATGTAAAGAAGGCTAGCTAGGAACTTAAGTGTAGTAGAAGTATAAAGAAGCATACAATGAAAATACTCATGCAAGATACCCTTGAAATTGTTATAAAATACATTACTTGAGTAATTATACTGTACATTTCCTCAGTGCAGATTAGAGTCGGCTTTCGTGTGCGAGTGACGTTTATAAGAACAATATGTATTTGCCTGTCAATTAAAAGAAGACTAATAAAGCTGCTAGTCAAAGGCCTTCGTTTGACTCCATAACTTTTGCCCAATGTAGCATTACATATTTACCATTCAAGCCAAATCCAGCTTCTTCTGAGTTTCTGACAGTTTGTCTTGGAGCCGCTTCTTCTTCCAGTCCAGGAACTTCCTCCTCATCCTGTTGGCCTGCCAGCCCGCCACGAAGCCGGCCGCGAAGGAGACCACGACGGCGACCTGAAGAGTCCTCTCCGAGACCTCAGCCATGTTCACCTCTGACAGCCGCTCACATTCGAGAGCCGCATGAAAATCAGCAGTTCACTGGTACAGGAAGTGAATCGCTCCAACTCACGCGATACTACAGTGGACGGCGGTAATCTCGCGCGCTTCAAAATAAAGGTCCGGAAGCCCTCTCGAGCTCATAAGAACATCATGTATTTTGTATACAAAAAAGTTGACATAAGGGGTAGAATTATAAAGTAATAAAAAAAGAATGCATAAAATAATTCAGTTTCATATTTGCCTTTTTATTCATAATGTTTTTAAAGGTGCTGCTATAATAAAATGATCAAAATTTGGTTTGGAGTCAGCCCTTTTCCAAAAAAGCCCCCCCAAAAAAACACATCTGCATCCATACTATCACCTTTGAAGTATGTAAACATGTCTTTACCCTCTTGGGTTCATGGTTCTTACCCTTTATACAGTATAGTATATTTACCCAGTGTTAAAATAAACATAATAAATTGATTTACATATTGAAACATTAGTCAAGTAAATAAAGTATATTAAGTCAATACAATTTTGAATACTGCTAATAACAATATAAAGTGCAACAAACTTGATTGAACAAGGAGTTTTATTTTCTTTGGAAAAAGTATTCAATAAAAAAACATTAAAAAGAAAAGGAAGGTCATTAGGGAGTCAAAAAGTCATTTACATTGGTCAAGGATGTGGTGTAATAAATATTTGTTGTACATTTCAAATGGTTTATGTGGGTAAATAAGCCTGAGACAACCAAATTGGCTTGTTTCCTTGGATCCAATTGCATTAAGTTTTCAGATTTTAAAAGGTGAAAGTTAAATGCATCACCTAGCTCCCTCAGTCTTTACAATACATAACTCATACATAGACATACTAAATGTGGCTGTAACATTAGTTTGTTAGGTTGTTTAAAGAATACACATAAAACACCATAGATTGCAAATATTAACAAGTACTGTACAGTTAGAAAAAAAACATTGTGTTTAAACCTCAAGAGTTGTACAAGTGTGTCATGAACTGCATGTGTGAATACAGGTTGATGTCTATACAATGTATTACGGCAAAGCTGTATTGGGGCTGCAAAAATGTAAATAATAATGCTCAAGATAGTTAATTTAACAGTTTGTAATTTTTGAATACTGATTGAATACTCTGTTTTGTTTTTAAAGAACCAAACAAAAAAAAAGGACTGAGGTTGTGTTTTTCATTATCTGATGAGAGTAATGTTATTGTTAAGTGATGTGGTTATTGTAGTGGCAGCAAAGATCTCGGGAAGCACGAAGTTGCACTCTGAGTTTTTTGCAACAAGTAGATTTTTGTCACACTAACATGATGTACAATTGATGAGAACAACGTGAATAACGTGTCTGCTTTCCTTCCTCTCACTATGAACGCTGCACCTTTTTGACGTTGTCGCTTCACAGTTACGCTGTGGTGTGTGGTAAACTTTTCCACGTTACCCTTTGTTTCACTTCTCACTTCTTTAGTATTTATAAAAAGTTCAAAAGATGTTAATGCTTGCTGAAGAGTTTGAGAAATTACAGTTTGTGTCGTTCATCAATATTTACATCAGTTTAGAACAAAACTACCACAATTATTAAAAAAATGCAGCAGCATTGTGCCTTAACCCAAAGACTTCTTCAAGTTCAAAACGATATGGAGGTAAAGCACCAAACAGGATGTACAGCTGCCTGTCTCAGAAGGTTTTCAGAGGTGTTCATGCTGTTGACGGTCAGATGTGGAAGAGTTTTTATATACAGTAGCTTCCAATCTTCGTAGAGCCAAAATATTTACAATCCGTTTAGAAACCTGATCAACAATGGTGGATATTAAATCATTTTTTCAAATAGTCCTTAAATGTACAGTCAACATGTCAAATGTTTCAACAGAAAACCAGGATCCAAAAGGCGTCCATGATGTATTGCTGAAGGTAGAGAACGTTTATGAGAATCGTCAGATACAGTTCAGAGTGATGTGACCAGGGGTTTGGCTCCTCAGCAGCAAATCACAACCGATTCTGTTTCAGCCTGTCTATGTGGTAACAGAGTTTGAGCGCAGGTCCCAGCTTCAGTCCTAGATACTTCATCATCATCTCACTTTTCAGCAAGAGCAGAGCGTCTCCGTCTATCTCCTGAAACACATCACAGAACAGTGTCAGAGCCTTGTAGCTTTGATAAGAGAAGGCTCTTGGTCATTTAGCGCAGACTCACATGCTTCCTGAAGGCTTCAGCGTGGGGGCCCAGGGCCTGGGGGTCAGCATCTTTGATGAACCAGACGACTTCCTCCACCCCCCACCTGGAGGGGTCTTTACCCGCAGGACGCTTGGACTCTGCGGAGTCTGGAGTGTAAGCTGGGGAAAGGTGGAGGAATGACTCTTAATTTATCAACAACATTGGGATCCAATAAACAAAACAAACTAATAAACAGTCTTATATGATAACCAACAAGATATTAGCTTAGTGTGTACCTAATGAAACTGTTTTATTTTAGAACAGGAGCTAGAGGAGAATGTTAAAAATATATGTATGTGAATGTAGTTAAGGTACTCTTATCAATCAAAACATATGTTATACTAAAGTATACCAAAATAAATCCTAGGAGAGTATGTCGTAAAAATATAGTCACACATGTAAAAAAAAAACATATCGTATGTCGAAAGATATCAGAACAATTACATGGTATGTTGAAAAAAGTCAAAGTATAGTATGTCTAAACATTTCAGAAAAACAACATAGTATGCAGGAAAATAAAATAGTATGTGGAAAATATATGAAATAAAAAAGTATAGTATGTCTAAATATATGAGAAAAAGTCATAAAAACTAATAGTATAGTATGTTGGAAAAAAACTAATAGTATAGTATGTTGAAAAAAAACTAATAGTATAGTACAGGGCTTCTCAAACTTCGGCCCAAGGTCCGGATCCGGAACTGCAATGTATTGCACTGCAATGTGTATACAAAATAAAAAATAAAAACTTTCTGATTCTGATGTAAATTAATGTGTATTTTCTTGTGTCTGACGCGTTGTGAGAATGAACGTGCATATATATTTACTTGTGTGCGCGAGCGTGACACGCATTGCAGACTGCAAGTTAACCGCAAGTTTACCTTGACTTTCGAATTCTTCTAATGCCTTTTTTTGCCTTGAACAGGCATACAGACTACAGACAAACAGTGCCATTTCTCCCACTAGTTCAAGCCACCATACTGTATGTATGTATTGAATGTGTGTGTGTATACAGGGGCGCCGTTTGCCGACAGGCAAGGCAGGCAAGGCAGGCAAGTGCTTGGACCAGAAGGGGGCCCCCAAAGAAGGTAGATTAAGAAGGTCCACAGCAACGACAACATGAAACACCCTTTAATTTACTGCAACGACATGTCGGGAAACCCCCTCAAGGGAGCCCCATGCATAGCGTGCCGTAAGAAACTGCGTTGCTCCGCTCCGCTCCGGGGGACTTTACTGGCATTTATCCGGACCAGTGACCTTGTATAAAATTCACAAGTGGACCTTTAATAAAAAAGAGTACCCCTGGTATAGTATGTCAAAATCAGGAAACCAACACATGTCGAAAAAAAGTCATACAATAATATGTAAAAAAAGAAAAGAAAAGTTACATTGAATAATTATTATGTCAATAAAAAGTATTAGACTGGTATGTCAAAACATATCAGAAAAAAAAAGTCATAGTATAGTGTGACAAAAATGCACACACTCTAATATGGTCTATTTAGTGCACACACCTGTGCAGGGGGACCATGGCTGTACAGGAGCTTTACAAGCTTTGGTACAAAGCACTTTTATCTGTATCAAAGATCTAATCAGGAAAAATGTACTTGCAATGCAAAGTACAAAACGCAGCCTCACCATTCCTGTTGACTTCCTGGAAGCTTCCTGGGCTTGATGCTTGTCTGCACAGGCCCATTGGGGTAGAGCAACTGCTGCCACGGTAACTATAGGACCGCTTTGGTGGGTACTGGGATGTCATGACATTGAAGGCAGAGTCGCTGGGATCAACAGCATAACGCTTGGAGTCCATTGGCGGGTCGCATAGGAAGTCATCAGGCATGGACGTTTCCGCTGGAAGAGGAACGACAGGAAGTAGTATCAATAAAGACACATGTTGGAAATGTATGGTGTGTCCCAATCATATACTTCTAATGAATACAATTCATCGTGGAAAAAAACGACATATATGCTGTGTTAAAGCCCCTTCCAGCTGTAACTATACGTCTGTGAAACGGTTTAAAGGTTGTAAGTAATTCTTCTGAACGTGCTCCCCTTTGAGCCAAGCATTTTGCAGATTGTCAATAATGCCTGCTGGTTACGCCGGGGCTGGGCAGTTATGGATTATCTCTCTCTGACAGATTTATAAAACAGAAATACTCTATTGAGATGATTTGAATTGCCCGTTGTTTGTGCTCAAGCTAAGGTCAAATGTATTTATTTGTATTCCGAAAAATCTATTATGTGATTAGATCTGAGGATGGGGAGTAATACATTCATTCTCACACACACACACACACACACACACACACACACACACACACACACACACACACACACACACACACACACACACACACACACACACACAGTACAATCTTAATATTTTTCGCACTTTAGATACAGATATATTTTATTGTCTCCATTCTTATGCATCAGTTTTCTTATATTTTATAATAAATGTTTACTGAATATTATAAATAGATAACCACATTTGTTTATGTTATAGAGGGTGATTATTTGAAAGGGATGTACACTGCTTGGAAAGTATCCAAAAAAATATCATAAAAATACTGGGACTATTTCGGAATTGCTTCTCCATTTCACCAGAGAAATAATTTACATATCTGTTTGTGAGGTCCACAGGGAGTGAATGGTTTGTAGTGTGTGTGTGTGTGTGTGTTCTTCTCTTCTGTATGTCTACAGTCTGACATCAAACACTTTTCATGATTTGTAAGAACAAAGAGCAAAGCGCTGGTCCTTGACACATGAGATTCCCATTCCCACCTCAAATACTCTAAAGGCGGTCTTTAAATATTTGCTTATTCAGAGCAGGATAGACCAAGAGGGAGAAAAGCAGAGAGAAAAAATGAAAGCGAGAGAGA